TTCAAAGAGGCACCCTAGGGTACCTGTCCTCAAAAGAATGAGCCAGAAATGCTGCTCAAGGGAAGAAAAAAAAAAAAAAAAAAAATCAAACCGACCAATGTCCTACACAAACGAGAAGCAACTTGCAGAATCAATTTGGCTGAATTTACCCCCCAACTTTCAGTATTTGGCATTATTAACTACCAAAAGCAGGGGCAATTGCTTTCCCTCTTGCCATTCGCATGCAACAAGTCATCCAGCGCTCTCATTTTCTGCAATGAATTAAGAATTATGAGCAACTCCACAGGACCAGGTTCTTTAGTGAATGTTTATTTTCCTGTCCAAGCCTAAAAAAAAGTCCCAGCACATGGAGCTGTGCAAGGAGCCACAGCACACAGCCACTACCCGAAGGACCAGAGAGGCTTTCCTGTTCTGTGGTACAGGAAGGCCAGAGAAATCAATGGGAGGTGGAGGAGATGGGAGAGGACCCATTACACAAAAGCAAAGCAGGTATGCACACTCAGCTTTGGACAGAAAAAGAGAACTTCTAAGCTGTAAGGAAATAAGTTTTAAAATAAACCCTGAAAAGAGGGAGGGTCTGAAACAAGTAAATCAGCACTATCATAGCCACTGAAACAAAAATCAGACATAATTGCTGGATAAATCAAGCCAGCTAAAAGAAAGCATTTATTTTAATCAGCAACTTCTGCAATTATCTGGATATTGTTAAAAGTGGCTGTGTTTTTACTTGGACAAACCAAATAAGCCTGAACAACACAGGTTCATATGGGGCTCTTTGTAGCTTCTCCCCCTGCTATGGCTTTGCAGGGTGTCAAAATGCATCATGCAGAGTCTCCTGCCAAATCAAGGGAGGAGAGGAAGCAATACAAACACTGCCTGACCTTGCCTGGCTATTTCTCTTGGAGCTCTTACCATCTTTCTACTTCTGTGAACTTCCATTGATAAAAACATATGTTTAGCACAGGGAAGTGCAGACAGTTTCTGTACATCAGAGCTAGTCAGCATCACAGCCATATACAATGCACATGTAAACTTCTGATGTGCCCAGTTTGGGTAATCCTAAGCAGCACCCCAGGAATCAGTTTAGAAGTAAAAGACTTTGCAGACCTGCTGTACAAGCACAGGCTTTAATAAAAAAACTGACTGATTTTGTTGATGTGTTTGGAGGGCTTCCTACTACACAAGAGGGACCAGACATTTCTGATATAGCCTCTGGTAATTCTGATAACCTCCTCCAGGTTAAGTAAACTTACACGAGCTGTGAAGTCCAAATTGTCCCTTTGACATGTAATAACAGGATCAATTCCCAACTTCAGTTGCAAAAGGGGCAGGATTTCCACATTGA